TCTTATGCTGACCGTAGAAGGAGGCCTTTGGCGTTTGAGATAGGTGATCATGTTTTCTTGAAAATATCACCTAGGCGAGGTTTGATGAGATTTGGGAAGAGTGGAAAGTTATCTGCCGATTTATTGGCCCTTTTGAGATCCTTGAGCGGATTGGAGAGGTTGCCTATCGTTTGGCGTTACCGCCACAACTTTTTGGAGTGCATGACATATTTCACATTAGTATGCTTCGGAAGTATGAGCCGGATCTATCGCATGTGCTGGATTGGAATGACTTAGAGGTAGACGAGGATGCCTCGTATGAGGAGAGACCGGTGCGAGTCTTGGATAGCCAGGACCAAGTCTTGCGAGGCAAGACAATTCCCTTGGTCAAAGTATTGTGGAAACATCATGGGGTTGATGAAACAACTTGGGAGCGTGAATTGAAAGTCCGAGAGAAATATCCGAACTTATTTGTTAATGTTTGAGTATGTGTTGAAAATTTTAGTTTTGTTTAAGAACTATAAAAACATTGTATATGTTTTGGATTATGAAAGTATTGTAAATGTTGAATGTGTTTCGGAAATGCAAGTTTAGTTTGAACATTGTATATGTTGTTTGAGTTTTGGAAATGCAAATATATTATAAACATTGAATATGTTTTGGAAATAAGGAGGATGTATTGAAATTAGTTAAATTTTTAGAATATGCATATTGGTAAAATATGGTGGGCTATGTATATATTGTGGATTTGTTCTCTTGTGAAAAGATGGAATGACCGGTAGGTGGGTCATGGTGATGAGAGTTAAATGGTAATCATCTTGAGAATTAGATAACCATGATTTTGAAACTTGTACTAAAATTTCGGGGACGAAATTCCTTAAGAGGGAGAGGTTATAACGATCCCGATTTTGTCCCAGCCTTTGTTGTATTCCGGACTCGGGTTTCGTGGCTTAGTATTGTATCCATGTCTTGTTTTTCTTCTTTTACTCTTTGTGTTTGAGTTTTGGAACATGTTAGGCGTGTTTGGAACGGGTTGGTTGTTATTTGGTCTAGAATGTTGTTGCCCAGATTTTGGCTTCTTCGCTCAAGCGAGCCTTGTGTAACTTGCTCCTTCGCTCGAGCGAGATTTCTTGCGCTCGAGCAAGGATTAGGAGTTCTCAAGTTTCCTCCCAGACACAGCTTTTCTGGAAAGGACGAAGTTCTTCGCTCAAGTGAGGGTTTTTGCGCTCAAGCAAGGCTTCTTGCACTCGAGCAAGGGTGTGCGTCTGAGAAATACCTGAAGGTTTGTATTCTTCACTCGAGCGAGGCTTCTTGCACTCGAGCGAGTGTGTACGTCTATGGCAGACCTGAAGCTTTGCATTCCACGCTCGAGCGACTCTTCTTGTGCTCGAGCGAGGTCATTTGTTGTGTCTGGTCGCTCGAGCAACAACTCCTTCGCTCGAGCGAAGGTCTCGTATATCAGTTCGCAATAGAGCTTTTCTACATCACTTTTTGTATCTCTTTCACCTAAAACCCTAGCCCTGCTCATTCTCTCTCTAAAATACTCTCTCTTTCTCTATAAATACACCTTGATTTGGGAGTCTCTCAACTCTAGTCCCTTTGTTAAAAAGGTAGAGCACCTTGAGGGCTTCGTGTTGATCCGAATAGATCGCGGTGTTGGCGTGTTTGAAGTGTCTCCATCTTCTCCTTTGCTCTCCTAACGTTGAGGTAGGGATATTCTATACCTTAGTATTATTTCTAACCTAGGTATTTGTCATTTTGTATAAATGGTGGAATTTGGAGGTATTTGGATGAAACTAGGGTTTGGGCTTAAGATTTGAAAGAGGGGTTTTCTATTTTGGGTCATAAAAATATATGTCGGGTATTGAAGATGGAATTATATGGGTTGAAATGATGAAATTTAAACTTGTAATTGATATTCGGTAAAAGGGGAAAAATCGCCCTATTTTGTGTTAAATGATTATTTTGTAGAAATAATGAAATACGGAATTGGGAAGATGTATAAATGAATGGTGTAATTGGATTTGATAAATCATTCACCTATGGAAAATTGGACAAGCGACCTGTTGGTCAGATTTGTTTATCTGTTTAGAAATATCTGTTTTGGGCTATCGGTGGAGGATAACTATGATTGTTGTAGAAACTGTATGAGGATTAGGTAAATTAAAACTAATCACATGAATTATGTCTTGAATATGACAGTTTGATTAAATTGTTGAATGTGTGGACCTTGGTGGTCATTGTATATGACACGCTTTTAAATACATTGTATATGTATCATTGTTTGGGAGGAGATAGGAGATGTACTCCATTATTTGGGAGGAAATATGGGATTGACTCTATTGAAAATTAAGTTGGCTGGAGTGTCCAAGGTGAAAGTTCTGAAATCTTATATATATATATATATATATGGGTGCCGATTCCCTCGGATAAGAGTTCCGTAAAATGGCAAGAAAATTTAAGTGTTTGAAAAATGATAGGTATTGAAGTATTGATAAATGAGTTATAGCCTTGTTTGGGATTTGCTTAGATAACAAGGGTTTGTATCTATGAGTTGATTTGAATAAATGAATGGAAACGATTTGGAACATTCATGTCGTCATTATGTGGTCTTGAAAATAAGAGGCCAATTGGCTTTAAGTGTTGAACATTTATCAAATGCATATATCTTAGTTAAATTTTATACATTGTGTTAGTATATCTCTATTGGGCTTTGGCTTACTCTACTTGGGAAACCATTTTCAGGTACATGTGACATGCCACCTCCAAGGGTATAACTTGGGAGGACTTGGGGCTGAAGACTCTATTTTGCTGTTCTTCTTTTTATGTTAAGTGTTTATTCGAGTCAAGGGCTTTACTTGTATAGGGACTTAGACTCTTCTTTTGTTGTAACCAAGCGAAGTTTTGGAGAGATGTAAGCCCGTATGGCATTCGCTTTCTTGTTATCAATTAGAGTTACATGGTATAGTTTCAAGATGAATATTTATGAAAATGTAATGCATGTAACATCTTTTGGAATGTAGATTCAGATGAATGGAAAATATAACATTTCTACTATATTAATGGATCTTATGGATGGTTGATTTACATCATATTTCGAGGGCGTTACATTGATCTTGGTCAGTAAAAATTGTAACCGGAGACCGATTCCCCATTGATTCTAAAAATGATTTAAACAACCATATAAATGAATCAGTGGTTTCATCTAAAAGGAAAGCACAACCAAATATCACATTTTGCCAATGGTGGTTAACACCAACAAATGGAGCACAAATCAAATTATACTTATTGGTGGGATAGGTGGTATAAAAAACAACCACATCTCCAAAGCAATCATAATCAACCCTTGATCTCCCATCTCTCCAGAAAAAATTTGTCATGCGATTTTCTTGATCTACTTGAATTGTGAAAAAGAACATGGGATCTTCTGTATGTTTTTGCTTAAAATGATTCAATAAGCTTTGAGCATCTCTAGCACTAATCATCGTCATCTTTTGCTTGTTCACATAATTATAACAATCCCTTTTGGTAAAACCCACATTTTCATTGCCTTCAACTTCTTCTCTTAGATATGAATAAGCATTCTTTGCGCTTACACTTGCATTTACCATAGAATCAATCACGCCTGCCTTCGGTTTTGAAATGTGACGAGAAGATCTTAGCAAATGTCGCTCTGATTGTAATGCAAGTTCATGATTATGTTTAGGATTGAAGGTAGTTACCCTCCAAATTTCATCTTCAACAGTTAAACGAAAAAATACTTTGCAACTAGTTATAATCTCCAGCCTATTTAATTTTTTCTCTTCAAAAGGGTCTTCATCTACTTTAAAACCCTCTTTACAACATAAAAATTCACATTGCCTAATGTTCTTTGATCCACTATAATACCTTGGCTTTTCTTTCTGAATACTAAAACCCATTTATAATACATAATTACTGTATTAAGCATATGCTTCGTCTTCACTACATACCACCTTATCTAACAAATTGTCATCACTATTTTCTTGCCTTGCAACAAACATGCAATCACGTTCACTTCTTTTAGCATCATTAGAAGTGTTAATTTCTGCAATAATTCCTGTATTCAATGTTAGAAACTACAATCGTATTTTTATTACAACTATAAAAAACATGCCTTATTTAAGGCCTAAATCATGAGCAATTTTTTCATGTTGGGACAATTTGGCCAAGATGATGCCTTTTACCATTTTGATTCATAAGGTTTCATTAATTTATATTAATATTTGACAAGACAACATAAAAAATTAACAATTATGATTGGTGGAGAGTAATATTGTTACACGATACTCTCTTAACATTTAATATTTTTTTAAAAAAATTGCACTCAATTGCAAAATTCTTGTAAGCTAGACACAAATAATATTACTAAAAACTAAAAACATATTAATATAATATTAGTTCTTCCAAACTATCTAAAGTTCTTCTATACTTTTTTTTATATTTATATTTTACTCAATTTTTTGTTTACTTTTAGATACATCAAGATTATATACATCTAAAAATTAAAAAAAAAAAAACTAATATATATATATAAACTTTATTAAAAACAAACGAAACCAAACAAAAATACACGCATAATTTTGTTCAATTATTTATTTATTTTTAATAATTTTTTTTATACATTTTAATCAATTTATTTTATTTTTAACATCCAGAATGTATTTAAAAAATACAAAAAAAAAAATAAAATAAAAATTGATTATCATATAAAAATTTTCATTAAAAACAAACAAAAAAAATCATCTTAAAAATAATATTTGAAAAATCGAACAAACGAAGCATAAATATCATCATATCAATATAAGCCATCTTAAAACTATTTAAATAATTATCGAATCTCATATCACAAAATATGCCATAAATCATGATTATTTTTTAAAAAATTAATAAAATATACCTTTTTTGATTTGAAAATCTTCATCATTCATCACTTTGTCAATCAGCATAGTGTCAGAAAATAAGACCAGACTACATCCTTTCTCCTCTATTTTGATTTTTCGGCAAGAGCTTTGATAGACACCCCCTCCAATTACCACTCCCACCACCACCACCACCTTTCTCTCCATACATACGAGGCGGGTGGTGATTGGAGGAGAAGGAAAAAAATAAAATAAAAATCCGACCAATGAGAGAGAGAGAGAGAGAGGGTCAAGGGAATGGGAAGAAAAGGGGGTCTGGGTCTTTTTTCTTTCGGCAATGATGAATTTTTAGAGAGTATGGAACTAGGTTTTTAGGTTTTTAGAGTTTGACTTTTTTTTTTTTATATTTTTATTAATTCGTAGGGTTAAGATATTTTTTGAGATTCTCTACCTAATTTCTTTCTCACGATGTCCACTTTCATTTTTTTCTTATCAGTAGTGATTGGTACCATTAAATCACCACTAATGAGGAAAAAAATAAAAATAAATAAAAATAAAAGGCACAGTAACACTGTGGCAGTAGGTGAGTCTCACTGCCACATCATTAGTACCACTATTAATTAGTAGTCTCAAACATTTTTGTTTTCTTATTTAGAGATTAACAAACGTCTAGTTTAAGAGTTACTGAGTTGTCAATATGATGGAACTTACTAACACCATGACAAAATGAAGTATTCTGAGTGGTGCAGAGCACTACGTAAGATGATGACCTGGAGTTCCCGGACTACTGAATAATTTTCCAAACGGCACTTCGCTTTTGGAAAGCGTGCAAGAGTTGATTTTTACTTACCTAATTTGTCTTGAACAAAACAGCATTTTTCATGTATATTACTTTTTAGTTAAATTACCTTCTTATCCTTTTTATATTTAGAATATTGCAATTTTATCCTTTTGTTTCTCAATTTGCCTTTTGACTTTGTATTATTTGCTCAGCGTGACTTGTATTTAAGGCCTCGTTTGGGAATAGGCTATTTTAATATTTTTTTAACTTTTTGACTAAAATATGAGGTGAAAAAAACTAGTATAGGTTATAGGCTTTTTAGGGTGACTTTTTGACTTTTTACGAAAAGATGTACAAAAAGTAGAGAGAAAATAGAATCTTTGACTTTTTAGTATAGGCTATAGACATTTTGGCTTTTTCAGTAACTTTTTGATTTTTTGGCTAAAATGTTAACTTGCCAAACGAGGTCTAAATTCTTCCATTTTCTCCTCTCTTGGTCTAAGTAAGAAAGAGAATGAAAAAAAATAAAATAATATAAACACATCATTGGTCCACATCACTATGGGGGTGGTGGGGGTCTCCCCAAAAGGGGGTTCCAAACATTTTTCTTATCATTCAGTAATAATTTAGACCCCCACAAAACGTCACCCCCACAATTTCCACTCACTTGTGATTGGTCTAAGTAAGAAAGAGAATGAAAAAAATAAAATAATACAAACACATCATTGGTCCACATCACTATGGGGGTGGTGGGGGTCTCCCCAAAAAGGGGTTCCAAACATTTTCCTTATCATTCAGTAATAATTTAGACTCCCACAAAACGTCACCCCCACAATCCCCACTCACTTGTGATTGGTCTAAGTAAGAAAGAGAATGAAAAAAATAAAATAATACAAACACATCATTGGTCCACATCACTATGGGGGTGGTGGGGGTCTCCCCAAAAGGGGGTTCCAAACATTTTCCATTTACCATTATTAGTGATTGTAATTTAGATGAAGGTTTCATCGTAATTATGTATAAAATTTTGGTCAGTTATAAAATATAAATATTTTATTTTAATTAAATTACAAATATACCCATGAAACTTGTTTAAAATATAAGTCACCCTATAATACTAGAAAGTTACAACTACCGCTTCTTAAAATTTTTAATTTAACACAATAGTTCAAAAAATCTGACTACTTTCCTATGCAATAATAAAATTATCAAAATTATGCATTGGAAAATATTTCTTATACCATTGAAAATTGTTAATTGATGATTTATTTATTAACAAAATGAATCACTTGTTATATGACTTTGATTTATTTAAAAATAAAAAAAACACTCAAGATAAGGGCCCAATAGACCGCACAGCACCGTGAAGGCACAACACGCCATAGGCCCCGTTTGGTAGAGCTGTGGGAAAATGATTATAACTTATACCTTAACAGCTTATAACTTATAACTGTGAACATAAGCCGATTTTTGACTTATAAATTAAGGTTCTTCTCCCCCGCTCAAAGAATAAGTTAATTTTTGACTTACAAAAAGTTATAAGCTGTATTATTAAGCTGAACCAAACACATCAAAATAGCTTAAATTAAGTTAAAAGCTGAAATAAGCTGGAAATAAGCCCTACCAAATAGGGCCATAGAATGCCATTGAATTAAATAGAATGAAATGAAATTATTGTTTTTAATCTGTTAAAACAAGCATTACCTTGAAGCCAAAAATTAAAACGAAATTTTTAAAAGAAAAAAGTTTGAAACCCATAAAAAAATTTCACAATTTGACCTACAATAATATGGTATGATCTATGAAGCATGGGTACGGGTACGAGGATTGGTACTGGTACGATACGGGTACGTCGATACGATAAATTCAAAAAAAGTAGGGTACGGGTACGGCTTGGTACGCTTGTAAAAAAATATTTATTTTTAATTTATAGTAATGTAAAATTAATTAAATGGTTTAATTTGTTAAGATTTAACCTATAATTAACATTTAATGCCAAAAGTAAATGTATAAATCAAAATTAAATGTCAATATATTTTACAAACCATAGTTTAATTTTAAAAACATACTAAGTATAAAACTAAAAATAAAAAAGAAGTCTAGTTAAAGGGGTTTTATCTCTATAGTAGAAGAAAATATTATTTCAACTGAAGTACGGTACGGTTTGAGTATATATTAGGTACGTCTGGGTACGCCAAAAATTAAGAAGAAAAAATTTGGGTACGTGTTTCGTGTACCCGGTACGTATGAAGAAGTACCATACGAGGTACCATACGCCGGTAAGTACCCGGTACGGGTACGGCTTGTTTTTCGAAGTACCCATGCTTCATAGGGTATGATAGGTATCAACTTTTCATTTCTTACACATTAATGATATAAGGCCAAACTATTATAAATAAATTTTTGATTCTAAAATTATCAGCATTAACATTTTTCATTTAAAAAAATCTAAGGGAAACATTACGATATATACCCCCTTCAAGGGTGTGCATCATATGCACCTTGTTACATATTTTTGTGATGCGTTACGTATTTTTGTGGTAACTGTAACCTATTTTTTTGGGTAGGAGCCATGATAATTTGTGGTTGAGATAAAAAAATTACACATTTTTATGATAACGTTACGTATTTTGTGGTGTTGTTATACACTTTGTGATTTGAAAATATTTTAATAAAAAAATAGTTAACATTACTACAAAAATCGTATAATTAAAAAACGTTAATTGACTTAATAATTTATTTAATTTTTTAATATTGCATACAAATCAAAAATCAAGTTTTACATTAAAATATTAAAATGTATAAAAATATTTCATTTAAATTGTAATTTTTAAAATTTTTAAAACGTTAAATCGTTTATACCCCTCATAAAAGTAGCACAAAAATAATTAACTTAAATAATCTAATTAATTAATGTATTTTCACATAAATTTTTTATTTTAATATTTAACTTGTGCTTTGCGCGGTTTTATTTTATTTTATTTTAAACCTAGTATATATATATCAATCAAGGTCCATAAGGGGGTGGTCCAATGATGATGAGTCAAGCTTTATGAATTGAATTTTTGTAAATTGGACAAAAAGTTGCCAATGACGTGCAAGATATGAAATGAGAGTGAAAGTTTGGCACTGGTGGATTGTAATTCTCTCCATTTCAAAGTTATAATGGAGGATTTCTCTTGTATTATTCAAGAGTTTGTAATAATCTATTTTCAATTTAAAATATTTATAAATTCTTATAATTATTTTACAACTCTTA